GTGCCAATGGGGTGGCCCCACAAGATTCCCATAAGGAAAAACGTTACAAGTATTTGGGAAAAAATATTTAGAGCTAGAAGGAGAAACTATTTTTTTTTAAAAGATTTTTACCACAGCACGGGATAAGGATGCAGCGCTTATAGCTATGAGTAGATTTTGGCTCTGCTGATACCAAACACAAAGTAGTTACTACTCAACAGATAAAGTTATGCTTCTTGCCAGACACATGAAAAGCAAAGTGCAATAATTTACTTACAATTTAACAAACTATATATATATAATATATAATTATATTTATATATACATACACATACATATATATATACACATACATATATATATATATATATACACATACATATATATATATATATATATACACATAAATATATATATATATATATTAGATATATATATACAATATATATATATATATATATATTGTTAAGGCTTGATTGATCATTAGATGATTTCAAGTGCTGAGGGCCAAATGGCAGGAACCCCACTTAGTCTGTAGATCTGTGTAACTGCTACTTAGTGTGATATTCTTCAGCTATCTGATTCTCAGGGTGAGCTAAACACAGGAACAGCTTCTCTTCTAGAAGTAAAGGAGGTCAGATATGGCACCCGGCAGGTGGGTCATCACCTGCATTCTGATCCACCAGTGCGGCTCCATGGGGCTGTAGCGCGTGTGAGGACGCTTGGACATGATGGCATCGGTAATGTCATCCAGCACGGAGACCGTATCCTTCTGCCCGCTGCTGCAGTAAGAGCGCATCAGAGCCATGTTCTGCTCGAAGTGGGTCTTCCCATAATCCTCCTTCACCTCCGAGGGCGCCTCGCTCCACAGCTTATTGGCCGTGGTAGCCACGATGTCGCGGGTCAAGATGCCAGTGGCCACAATAAAGTTGCCCGGTTCGATTACGGACACTTTTACGCCCCACGCTTTCATCTCGTAGCGGAGGCAGTCAGAAAAGGCTTCCACGGCGTATTTGGAAATGCAGTACGGTGACCTCATGATGTTGCCCATCCTTCCATACATGCTGGCCACGTTCACGACACGGCCTGTGGTCAAGAGATACAAGGGGACAGATTTTAGATTCTCCAAATAAATGCATCATAATTCAAAAGTGAATTAAGAGCCTTTAGTGCACTTTTAAAGCTGCTAGGCTTGCAGGTCCAGAGTTCAGATGTCTTTAGGAACATTTCTTGGCTATTTGCTTAGCTCAGCAAATAACGGCCTCTCACTGTTGAACAGTCACTCATAACACACTTGTTAACAGAGCTGCTGTTCTGTTAGCGTCTGCAAACTTTTCTTTTTTCTTCAGCACAACTTTGATAACACTGTTTTTTTGCTTTACTTTAAAACAATTTATTCCTATTTTATAGTAATGTTTTTATATATTCATTTATAATTGTGGTTCTTAATACTTGAAACTACTTTCAGGAATGTTCAGTGCAAATATGCTTATCAGCATTGACGGGTTTATATAACAAAGGTTATATAATGTGTTAATATGTTCTTTCACTTCCAGCCTTGTTTGAATTGTTATAACTCTTCACAGCTCACTCAAAGGCGGATGTATCTTTCAAATTTTTGCACTTTGACGCCGTTATTTTGGACACTCTGTAACTGATTCCTGTTTATATGTCACAGAGTGGAGGGAACAAAATGCAGCTTACCCTTCGCCCTGCGGATTAACGGCAAAACAGCTTTAGTAACCCTGATGGTGCCCCACAAGTTGACCTCTGACACGTGCTTGTAGGTGTCCATGGAGGTAAATTCGACCTCTCCAAACGTTGACACACCAGCATTATTCACTACAGCCCAGAGAACTGGGCAGGAGAAAGTCAGAGAGAATGAAATGTATGAGTAAAGTCGACTTCTTTTATGTGGGATCTATTTGATTACCGAGCGACCTACCCGCTTCAGATTCACCCAGGATCTCCCTGATGTGGTCCACTGCCTTGTTGACCTGCTCTTCATTGCACACGTCCAGCTGCACGACCTTCATTCGATCTGAATGAAGTTCCTCAAGCTCCTTTGCACCGTCTCCACCTTTATCCTGTAAGCGGGGACATTAGTTAAACTCACGGCCTCGGCATAAGAGGTCTCAGTTCAATCAGCTTCAGTGCTTTTAACAAGAGCAAGAGCAAGAAACCTTTTTGTGCCTTCAGTATAAATGTTTTTTCCAGTTCTTGGCGGGCAGGAGTGGTACCTGGTTTGGCTTTCTGCTGCTGCAGCCCATCTGTTTCAAGGTATGACAAACTGTACAAGCATGGTCTTCTGCATACCTTGGTTGTGACAAGTGAATATCTGGGTTACTGTTGCCTGGGTTACTGCCAGCTCAAAAAATTATTATCTGTTTGTTAGGCACAAGTGAAAACTAAACGTGGCAAAGAGCCCTGAAGGTATGAAATGAGATCCTTAAGCAAAAATAAAGGTCAGCAGAGTCTTAAATCCCCTGTTCAGACATTTATTGAAGAGCCCATTACTGATCTGTTTTTAATTTTCTACTAGAACGCTAACATGCTGTTGCTGACATTTTACACTGTACTGTTATGCTTATCATTCTTGTGCTTGATGTTATCATCTGCTCGTTTGTTCCTTAAGTAAATCACTTTGTGCCACACATGTAAAACAATGCTCTGTGGATGGTTTATTATTATTATTATTTTACTCATCCCACAAAAGTTCAGAGGTCACAACTAAAGAAGCGCCCATTTTTTCAAAGGCTGAATTTGCTGACATCTGTCGCTGTGAAACAGCCGCTTTTACAGTTTTTGAGATAAGCTTAGGATATCTTATCTTAAAAGCACATGTTTCAAGGTGTATTTACAGTGTGAAAACAGGTCTCCCGAAGGACATGGGTAGGGAATGATCATTCTGATTTTCATGTGGGTGGGATTTGTGGCCATGTTGTTCTTGATTTCCAGCTACGCTGTGCAATCGATACCACATCTTCCTTGGAATAGGAGATTTTCTGGAAAACGTTTTGCTCACTTCCTGTTTGCAAATCAGGGAAAAATGCAGACTCGATGAGCAACATCCTTACCTTGAGAAGACATCCGGCAAAGACTGTAAAGCCAAGTTTGTGCAGATGTTTGGCGAGAGCGTAACCAAATCCAGTGTCACAGCCTGTAATAAGCACGGCTTTCCCTTTCACCTACAGAGATGGGTACAGTACAGTTTCCCCCAAAACACACAATTAACATTATATGCAAATTAGAGAAAAAATGCTTACAAAAACACGCATATTTCCAAGTGAACGCAAACTCTCTGTACAGTTTGTTACAGTATAAACAAAAACTTATATTGCCCACCCCACATTACTGTAGTGTATCTTGTAAAGGATTTTCTGCGAGTTACAAGCCTTAATTTTGCATTTTACAACGTTTCACTGACATCTGTGTTCCATTTCAATGTTTTGCCTGATAAAATGCAAACCAGCGATTAATCCCCGTGTTTGTTGTGACATTACCTCCACCAGTCCTCTTGGAATTCGAGGCGTCGCCACGTACAGCACAAAAACTGCGTACAATGCAACTATGCACTCGGTGACGCTCGTCTCTGGCAACCCCAGCATCCTCATGAACGCGTTCAGCAGAGCAGGGAGTCCAAAACCCAGCACCACCGTGAGGAAAACCGAAAGAGCCACCAGGAGTACCGCTCGGAGCGCGGGCAGCGAGGCCATCTTGTCGGAATGGTGTGTTTGCTTTTCTGGCGTAGCGGTCCGCTTTACAGCCGTCACCACGGGCGGGCGGCACGCCCCCTGTATCACTGCAGCGACAAGCCACGGGATAGGGAAGTCCCCTGTTGTAATGTGTAACCGCAAAAGTAGCCGCAAAGCATCCGGTTGCAGGTTAAAATCGTGTTTTCGGCTAACCGACGTCGCTAAGTAACCATTATACCGTGTGGTGTCGTGTGGCAAGCTGTTAAGTGTCGCTCGAACCAACTTCGGGCCGAGATCCACGAACAAGCCCCCGACTTAAGCACTGTCCAGCCATTATGTATCAGGAGTAAGCTCTCACTGCAAAGTCACCATGAGGTGTGTTTTTTTATGCTTTACGTTAATATTTTACATGTCAATGTTCCGTTTCTAAAAACAGGACACTGGCTATCATCGGGATTGAGACGGAACCGGAAGTAACACGGAGGGAAGTTTCTTGACATAAAGCATATTTGCTTTGAAGAGATTTCTCCCTCGCTTATTAAAAGGTATATAAAAAGACTCGTTTATCATTACACATTACACATGAGCAAGCACACTTTGAAGCCTAGGTATATTCTCATTTAGCATGGCACAATATGCACAAAAAGGGGGGGGCAGCCTTGCACTGGACTATTTTCGGGGGAATTTTTTTCATTCAAGAATGGAAACGGCACCTAACTCAAAGGATGAGGCAGTGATGTCTCTACAACTAAGAGACAACTTATCATAGAAGTATGCATGTATAAGTACTCAAAGCACTTTACACAACTTGCCCCATTCACCCACTTGCACAAGCACTTTTTTCTAAGTTTCGGTTTAAGTGCTTTTTATCTCTCATCCACACACTTTCAGCAACTTGGGGTTAGTATGTTGCCCAAGGATATTTAGCATGCAGCCTGGAGCAGACGGAGATTAAACCACCAACCTTCAGATTAGTAGGTGACCTGCGCTACAGCCACCCCATAAAAACAAATCCTTTATTCACATTTCTGTAGTTGGATCTATGAAGAATGTCAAAGATAAGACTTTAACAGATATGAAATAGCATTTTTGCATAAACAAGATCATTCCCAAGTAGCCTTTGGCAAAAAAGACAAATCTGAGCATGCTGTGCAGTGTGTCCTTAAAAAAATCTGAGGAAACTGGTGGAGGATAACAGAAGAAGAAGAAAAAATTTACTGTATCTGCATTTACGTTTGCACATTTTAATAAATAGCTCCAATTTCCTAGGATAATATAGAGATAATATAAATTCCAGCAAGAAAAAAAAGCACCTGAGCAACTCCACAGCTTGTAAGGATGTTTTATTGTTTCCAGATAAAAGATTTTCAGCCAACATCCAGGTCAAGTATAATGTGGTAAAATTACAAACCTGTTTCATCTACTAAAAAAGCTGCTGGTCAAGAGTGAGATAACATAGGATGACAGCAGTAGGGAGAGCAAGGCATTAAGGCACTAAAGATCTAGTGTGCATGGCTCACTGACCATACTACGGCCTTGAGAAGTGCTGTAAACATATCTTCATATCCGTGTAAAACAGAGACTTCTAATTCAAAAACAATAGAATTAATTCTTTTGAGAAAAGAAAATATTAAGAAGACTGTCAGGTTACTGCAGAGTAAAAAAGGAAAGAATAAACTGAAAAATGACAATGTCAGTGACTACACATCTTAACCACACCGATACAAATGGCCCAGTTGATCTCTTGTTGCCATCTCCTTTTTTTTGTTTGTTTTTTTTTTTACAAAAGAAGCATAAACATGAGAAAAAAAAAGATTTTAATATTCATCTTTAAACAAGCACACTTCGGTTATAAACCTTTTTTCACACTGTAGAAGAACATATATGAGTGTCAGGGTAAACTGAATGATAATAATCTTGCAGAGAGAATTAAAACCGCTCATAAAATTTCACATTACTTCCCCCCACTTAAATTGGGCTGTCTTTGGAGTATGGAGTTGGTAGTGCTGGTGGAAAGAGGGACTTGGCTCATTTATAGTTGAAATAAAGGTAGGAAGAAAAACTGCAATCTGATTTTTTCAGCAGTATTTTCTTGGCAACAAGTAGAACGCAAGTGCTCTTTTAAAAATATCCCGTGCCAATCCTTCTTTATTTGAGAAAAGTATCAAGCTTTCTCTGGATATTGTCAAATGAGTCCATTCCCAAGTAGTCTGCCTGACCTTGCTCCCATTTCTGCTTCCGTTCTTCTGAGGACATCTGCTGGGATTGGGATGCCTGTGCGTGCGCGTGCGAAGACCTGCTCTCGCCCTGAAGGAATATGGAACATAACAGCAGGGAAATGAATAAATGACAAGACACGCAGACTGCACACAACATGCTGTTTTTCCTTTTTTTGCTTTTTGGAAGCAGCAAACTGCCACACTTAGCCTTTCCAAATTAATGGCAGCAGGCAAACACGCGAAAGCTCTGATTTTAGAGGAAGGGCAGCAACAGCAATAAACCAGGCGCCAACGGATGCTTAATCACTGCTGAGCTATAAAAAACAAAACAAATCTTTGTCTCCATACCTGTTCACTCTCAAAAGTGACAGTTTCACTGTGCTGGAACTTTGTGAGATGAATAAGAAGACAGAAAAGAGGTTTAAATAGCTTTGCATCATTCAAAGTTCAAAATAACGGCTATAAATTTATACTGGAGCGTTTCAGCTCATAAACTGTCTGAAAGAGGATCTTTTAGCTCCCTTAAGTTAAATCTGTTGAGATTGGCTTCCCCATGCAGGCAAAGGATCTGAAAAAGATCAGCAGGTGGGAGGGACTGTATGTCTGAGATGACTATATTAGGGATAGATCCTCTTGCTCACATCTAAGAGCATTTCGAGCAGTCTGAAGCCTCAACTTTTGGCTCTCAGGGATCACTTACACATACGCTGACCTTGCTATTTTAGCCATTTGTTATGAATTATCCAGTGACTCCATGGTTGTAGTTTTGTGCATTCGTTGCAAATGATCTTAGGTTCAAGACAGGGAGGACATACACACCCAGCCTCAGGGGTTCATCAAATGGTTGTCAGACTATGTGGTGTAAAATCTATGGTGACCCCTTTAGAAATACAGTATATAGCAACAAAAGTATGTCTTTTTCTTATGAACTATCCGCCTTTGTAACTATACAGAAAATAAGGAAACAGCTCTGTTTTAAAGATAATACCTGATGAGAAGTCGCAAATAGTGCAGGTGCAATTAAAATGTCGACTTACCTCCACACATCCTGAGTGGAAGGGCTGTTCTCCATACTCCTCGTGCAGCATGAGGACCACATCACCCGAGTATAGGGTCCACCAGTTGAGAAGGAAAGTAGGGTGTGTGGCAGCATCCTGCTCACTCCCTGAAATCTGTTTGGTTTTGGGATCAAATGTGTAATCCCATGGTTTGGTCTTCCCCAGGAAATGGACCACCTTGGCATTTCCACCATATCTGAAACCAGTATTACAGTAAATGAGAGGATGTACTGTAGATGTAGTGTGGTTATGGTTCGATTTACTAAATGAAGCTTTTCTGAATAGTGTTTAATATCAAATTGTAGCAATAAAGACATTTGTATTCATAGACATAAATAGTATAGAATATGCTTAAATAAAAAAAGTTTTAGAAATGTTTTAGGAGAAACCCTGTATGTTAGTGTCAAAAAACATATTATTAAATTGTTGTGTTTTTAATTGGTCATAATAATGAACTGGACACTAATATAAATTTTAATGCTCCAGGAAACATTTTTGGGTGTCTGTGTTTAAAAGCTGGGTTAGCATGAATGAAACAAAATCCTTTTGGAGAAATAAGAATGAGAAATATATTGATCCACCCCAGTTCTGACAAGCTTAGATGTCTTTGTAGCACTGGCAATCTGCTCAAGTACACAAATAAACCTGAACCCGACACTGTCGGGTTTGTTTTGCTGTGTTTGTCAGACCTCTAAGCATTATTGCTGACAACTACAAACAACTAAAGACATGTTTATCTTCCCTGTCCTCCTGATGGATGCCAGGAAATGCCAAACCAAAAAAAGCCTGCTGATGAGACCAGAGGTGAAGACACAGAGATGCAATGAGGATGAGAGGGTAGCTTTAGACACAGCACACAATGACCAGTCCTGGAGGCAAACATTAAAAGGTCTTTAAATAAAGTGCTCTATTTCAGGAGTGGGTATCAGCTGCTCTGAGCTCAGACTGGGCATCCAACCCAGAGCTGAGGGCCTGCTGGGGCGACACTCTAACTGTGCTGCTGGAATCTCGCTGCTCATCTCACCCGTAACCTGATGTCATGTCACGATGTGAATACGCATTCATGTGACCAGGTATCTACTTACATCTTGGCTTTGTATCCAAGACACAAGATTTTAGTCACATGGACAGACTGCTGTTGCGTAATATGAATTTCCCAGGGTAGCAGGTAAATATAGTATCTTATAGAGTTTGGTCACATAATTTTTTTAAACCGCACCTGTGACTTTAAGCATTTCATAATTACTCCATGAGTTTAAGTGTGCTTAGCAGACACTTACTGTTTAAATGCTGGGAGGTAAGTGTAGATGGCTATGCTGCTGAGATTGTAAATGAAAGGGAGATGTTTTGATATGTCAGCTGTTGCCCAGTTGCTAAAGAAGCCATTCAAAATCCCTTGGTCTCCTCCTGCAACAGAGAAATACGAAGGTAAGTGTGACAGTATGATAAGTCGAGTCGCTTTATATGGCACATTTAAAAACAACAGCAGTTGATGCTTTCCAAATGAGGTAGAATAACAAGGCAAATCTCTAAAAACATACATATAAAGCCCTAAAGAGAGATACCCCCAGGAGATCCCGACAGGGGGGGAGAATGAGATCTCCAATTGGACGGACTCAAGGTTAATGACCAATGCAACGGAAAGGACTATGAGTAAGACATGCATCTGCGGCAAGGCGTGTAAGAACCAGCGTGGCCTAAAGGTCCATCAAGCCAGAATGTAATGTTTGGAGTGGGAAAGTGAGGTGCAACGCACAGGTCCTGAACCTGGTGAGACGCAGGAGGAGCCTGGCCAGGAGGCACCCCACAGAGCCCAGTCCTCCAGTCTTCCAATCCAAGCAGTGTAGTTCCACAACAGCGGATTAAGCCAGCAGTTGGAGCAAGTGGCAGAAGTTTGATGAGGATCTCTCCAACATCACACAAGCTGTAGCCAAAAGAGATGCTGACAGCAGGCTTAAAACAATGACCACCATCATAGTCAGCTATGCCTCAGAAAGGTTCGCCCTGACCGAGAAGTGTAACAAGACCCCTTATACCATGAACCGCAGGGCCATGAAGATTCATCGACTGCGCCAGGAGCTTAGGAGCCTTAAGAAGCAGTTCAAGAACACCAATGCGGAGGATAAGCAAGCTTTAGAGGAACTGCAAAACATCTTGCGGAAGAAGCTGATTACCCTCCGTAGAGCAGAATGGCACAGGAGGCGGGGAAGAGCGAGAGCCAGGAAACGTGCAGCTTTTATTGCTGATCCCTTTCGCTTTTCAAAACAATTGCTCTAGGTTAAGCGAAGCGGGCGGTTGGAGTGCTCAGCAGAGGAGATGAATAACTTCCTTCATGAGACCATGAGTGACCCACTGAGGGAATAAGACTTGGGACCCAACGAAGCTCTCATCAACCCTGCCCCACCATCAGTAGAGTTTAAGTTGACGGAGCCAAGTTTGAAGGAGGTGTGTGAGGTCATCAAAGCAGCCCGCTCAGCATCTTCTCCAGGTCCCAGTGGCGTACCCTACCTTGTCTATAAGCGCTGCCCAGAGCTGCTTCGTCACCTGTGGAAGATCTTAAAGGTGATATGGCGGAAAGGGAGAGTTGCTGATCAATGGAGGTGCGCAGAGGGAGTCTGGGTTCCCAAAGAGGAGGACTCTAAAAACATAAACCAGTTTTGGAGCATCTCACTATTGAGCGTGGAGGGGAAGGTGTTTTTTAGCATTGTCTCCCGGAGATTGACCGAGTTTCTCCTTAGAAACAATTATATTGATCCATCAGTTCAGAAGGGGGGGATCCCAGGAGTTCCTGGTTGCCTAGAGCACACTGGCGTAGTTACGCACCTTATAAGAGAAGCCCACGAGAACAGAGGTGACCTAGCCGTATTGTGGCTGGACCTGACTAATGCCTATGGGTCTATCCCACACAAAATGGTTGAGCATGCTTTACACCTCTACCATGTCCCCAGCAAGATTAAGGACCTGATCCTGGACTATACGCCAACTTCAGGCTTAGGGTCACTTCTGGGTCAGTTACTTCAGGCTGGCACTGCTTCAGGAAAGGTATAATAACAGGCTATACCATCTCAGTTACGCTCTTTGCCCTTGCAATGAACATGGTGGTAAAGGCTGCTGAGGTGGAGTGCAGAGGGCCGCTAACAAGGTCAGGTGTTCGTCAGCCCCCTATTAGAGCCTATATGGATGACCTCACCATCACAACATCATCAGTTCCAGGTGGATCTTGCAAGGACTTGAGATACTCATCTCATGGGCAAGGATGAGTTTTAAACCTTCCAAGTCAAGATCTATGGTACTGAAGAAGGGGAAGGTGACGGACAAGTTTCCGGTTCTCAGTCTCAGGGACCATTAACGGAACAACCAGTTAAGAGCTTGGGGAAACTCTGACTCCAGCCTGAAATACTCTGCTGCCATTCAGAAGGCAAATGAGGAGCTGGGACCTGGGTAAACAGCTAAAGTTCCCACAGTACATTGCAAAAACATCCCTCCGGCCAGACATGATCATTATTTCTGAGGTCTCAAAACAGCTGATCATGCTGGAACTCACAGTGCCCTGGGAAGAGCGGATCGAGGAGGCCAATGAAAGGAAACGTGCAAAGTACCAGGAACTAGTGCAGGAGTGCAGGGGAAGGGGCTAGAAGACTTTCTATGAGCCCATAGAAGTGGGTTCTAGAGGCTTTGGAGGACGATCACTCTGCGAAGTCCTAGGCCAGCTGGGTGTGACTGGGACAGCCAAGAAGACGGCCACCCAGGCTGTGAGCAAAGCGGCAAAGAAAGCCACAAGGTGGCTGTGGATTAAGAGTGCTGATCCGTGGGTAGCTACTGGTACGCAAGTCGGGGCCTGATCACCCCCGGCTGGGTCGCCTGGGCGAGGGTGTATGATGTTGTGAGACCAGAAACACCTGATGACCCCAGGATACATCACTGAAGATGAGTACCAGTGCATCCAGGAGATGTGTCTTGTATAGATAAAACTAATAGTCACATAAATAAAAAACCTAAATAAACTATAGTTTAAGCATATTTTTCAGTGATTAACAATTTGCTAGAATAACAAAATTACAATAATGAAATAACTGAATCTGATTTAATTAGGCTCTGAGGACCAGCTGCTGTGTAGTTCAAACATTGTAACATCTTTTCAAGACAAGTGGATTTGCAAATAGTGTACAGTGTCTTTTCCAGCGCTGACTTTTTAATAACATCAGTCATGAAAACAAAACAAGCCTCAGGTTTTAAAATTTATTAACAGTTTTGTAATCTCTTGTAAAAATGTTTGTCTTGAAGTAATTTGCCTTGGTGGCATTTGCATGCTGTGAAAATCTCTGATATGGTCACATAACAGCAAACTTGGCTTTAAAAATGTTTCTGGTCAGGTTTTGTTTGTTGGCTGAATGTCTTCACTGAAAGAGTGAGACGAATGAAAGGCACACCTGTGACAAACCACATTAGTTTTCACCTCAGCTCATCTGCTGAGATATAAGCCCAGACAAGCATTTAAAGAAATGTTCTCACATGTTTAGGACACACAACTGGATCTCATGTTCCCACTGCTACCTGAAAAAAGTAGATCTGATTTTCTAGAAACTGCAGGTAGTGCTTTACCTCAGTGGGTGCACACAGGTTGGGGCATGTGTTTTAGCAGCCACAACATTAAACCCACCAAAGTTAATGTGAACAGTGTTGATTGTCTCATTAGAGGCACGACATTGCAAAAATGCTTCGGGAAACAGTTCAAAAAACAAAGAGCCCACAGCATTAACCAGGCCTCCAAACTTTGCAGATCCCAATCCAATCACCATCTATGGGATGCGCCTGAACAAGCCCATTCAAAGGAGGCTACACCCTGAAATCCACAGAACCCAAAGGATCTGCTGCCAAAGTCTGGTGCCAGATACCACAGGACACCCCCCTGAACTCTCATGTTCATTCCCAGACGGGTCAAAGCTGTTTTTTCTTTTCTTTTTTTGTGGCATGAGGGGGAGGGATATTATTGTCATTACGCTTATTTTTATTGCATAAAACATTTTATTTGTAAATAATCCTTTTTATTTTTTTCAGATTAAAAGGCAAAACAAAAAAATCCTAATCAAAGGATAATGTTGGTGTCAGTAGAAAAAATTGAGGTGCTGCCTCTGCAATTACATTGAATATTTCCAAACTTTACCCTACTCCATTCATGACCAGCCAACTTTAAATAATACAAACAGACAAAGAGGTTTAAAGACTTTTGTCTCTCACTGTGCTGGTACGTGAATTAACACTGGCCTCTGGGTTTTAAGTAAATGGACTGCAAGTTTGCGTCTGAGTTGCCTCAGGTCCTGGAGTTCAATTGGAGGGCTGTTACAGCCATTTGCCCTCCCTCAAGTTTGGCTGCTTTAGAACTGGGGCAGCCCCTTCTCACAGCAGCAACTTACATAAATACACAACTTATAAAAGTTTGGGAGGCAGGGATCTATTTGATGTTATGTGAGGTGGGTGACAGGTAGACAACTAGACCAGACCCGAGCCTTAAATAAATGACAGCCCCCCCCAAAATGTGATAAAAGTTCAGTGAATCTGTGAATGAGTCACTGAAATGACACTGACACAGGACGAGATGTTGGCTGTTAACAAAACTTTCACATGTCTCTCCTAAAAAAGCATAGGACTGTAAAGTCTGTGGCTTCGGTTTAAAATAACACACATAGCTGGCGTTTGTCTGAACCCACAGCCTCCACTGGAGAGTTCAAAACTTAATATGGAGCTGAGTATCTTCATTTTGAGGGGATGAGCAGAACACAGGAAGAATGTGCATCTAACCGGTGCCAGTTTGTTTTGGCAGCAGATAACACTGGAGCCACAGATGCAGAGATAGAGCCTCTGGGTTCAGTCACTTACTTTCTTTCCTCCTCTGCAATTTTTCTTTTCCAATACATCTTTCATGTTCTGCGGGGTAGAGAGGCGTACATGTGTATATCATGCATTCCTTGCAGGACAGCAGAACTGAAATGCTGAAGGTCAAAGCGGCTTCACCTCATGCCCCAGTGCACATGAAAAGACCATCCATGTCTATAAATAAGACAGCTTTACTTATTAGCATGCCATCAAGCATTTAGATAGTGGCATCACACTGAAACAGGGACTCTAAAATTATCCACAAAAAGACACTAAGGGATAAATGAGTTTCAGCTTCCAAAGGGACTCTTTCTCATAAAGAAATAAGAAAATGTCTTTTGTATGTGGTTGAAATCGTGATGTGAAAGATTGTTGTGACAGAATGAGTCGGCACTTGAAAGCAGTGGCCCATATTAAGCAAACTAATTGGTTTTTCCAGTGGCACCCCCCATCCCTGATGGAATCTGTCTCACAGCATCACAAGGGAAACAGATTCAGTGACACTAACAAGTACATAGTTTGGCACTTCTGAGCCTAACTATAAACCCCTTTCGTCTTTTGTTTACTCCACAACTGTTTTCTTTGTTTGTTGGAATTTTTGAGGTCAGAGCAGCCCGAGTAAACAATGATTTTGTCTAGAGTCCGGCCCTTCTATCAGCAGGACTGACAGCTGAATGAAATCAAAAGCTTTTTCTCGGCATATCAGATACATAATAAATACTGTTCTTCACTTAAGCACTTAATTGAGATTTCATCACAATACATTCGATTTTTTGGTGTCAGAAGATATTTATAGTCCAAACCAGGGAGATCAAACTCCTTTTAAATTGTGACCCACTTTGATCTCATTAATTTAATTGGCCAAACCATTTCAGTTACATTCAATTTTATCTATAAAGTGCCAAATCACAACAACTGTCACCTCAATGCATGACCAGTGAAACGTCTCTCTCTGTCAGTGTAAAGAAGTGTAACTTCATATTTAATCCCTGAAATATCTTAACATAAGAAGTGCAGTTTTAACGATACATGTCAGTTTTTCTATATAATAAAGACATTAAAGAAATTTCTCAGCACAACACCTTGGGTTTAAATTATGAGAAATAAATACAAGTTCTGGTAGATCATTGCCTGGACGCTGTTGTAATTATTAAACAAAAAGGTTTTTGTTAACTCATTCTTACTTAAATAAAACAGATAATAAGGTAGATTGTGAAAAAAATAGAAACATTTTTGCAATTTCATTTTTTTATAATATAGTGTGAAGATAAGAAAAGCTATAAAACTTGAGACAATATAGTTAAAATCTGAAGTTTATGCCCACTTTCACATTTTCCAAAGACATGCAGTGGGCCGGATTGGAGTCTTTGCCCAGTCTTATGTTTGACACCCCTGGTCTAACCAGTACTGCCCAGTTGGCAGACTTTGGCTACATTTAGGTAAACAGCCCCAGTGAAGAGGAAATGAAAGATTAAATTTCCTGTACAACTCAAAAGTATCTCCCGTCATCTGACAATGATTGAGTTATTTATTTGCTTTTAAAAATCCATCGTTATTTTTGAACAATGTAAACGCCACAGATAAGAAAGTCTTGGCCTAGATTTCTATGAGCTACACTAGTCTCCCCAAAACAGAGACTTGGCAATCAGAAATATACGATGGGTTTCCAGCATGCACATGACATTATTTTGGTCATGTGACGTAGCTGTCGCCTTAGCTGCATGGTCTTAGATGAACTGAGAAACTCTTTTTGCCACTTTAGACTATCACGTGGTCTCCTGGAAGAAAATCTAATAAGTGGACAACAACTTGAAATTATTTTTAAGTTACATGGCACAAATTTAATTAAAAATAAATTCAAAAGCAAATAGGCAACTTGGTCTGATGTCCACCAGACTCTCTTTGGATAGCTACAATATGTCAGACTCAGTTACTCAGCTACTTTCTAAAATGCAAGTGTTCATTTTTTCCCATTTAGAGTATGTAATATAAAAAAAAAATTCTTGAGGAGCACCATGAAACTACAGATCGATGATGATTCTAGCCCTTCACTGAACCTGATATGGCCGGCATAGCTTTGACTACAATTCAGCAACAGTACGCTCCATGGAAAAGTGTTGCTTAATGTCAACTGGTGCTCTGTGCAAAACAGGGCCTCTCAAATTTAACCTTCACCCCACCCCGGTGAGCCCCTGAGAATAACTCAGCAGAGCTCGAAAGTCTCTTACAGGCGAGCCTTGTTTCCAGGCACCGAGCTTGATAAAGACCTTACTTAGAGCAAAAGATAAACAAGTCCAGTTAAACATCATGTTACCAAGAGCGTTTCCAAAACCATGTTTGACTCAAAAAAAAAAAAGGAATTTAAAAGGGCAGAAGTTCCTCCCTTGCTATATCATTGCCAATAACATGAAAAGTAGAGTGAAACATAAATTTTCACTAACTGCAACCCTGAATCTCAATAATAAACATGTTACATGTCATTAGTCATTGCATAGAACCAAGTGCATTCCTGAAAATGCTATAATAGCCCTTTAATAGACATTTTATAAAATGCATCCCGGCATTTTACAGCAGCTTACCGTCAAAGCTGCCATGTTCTGTACAATACTGAAGCAGTTTGCCATGAGTCTCCACAGAAGGACGAAAAACAAAAACGCCAGAGTTGAAGCAATCGGGCCAGCCAGGGTCAGGAGCAGCTGACAGTTCCTCTCTATCAAACAACTCATCTATATTTGAAAGAACCTGAGATGCACAAATAAAGCACATGTTTATACACACCAGTGATGTGCAGCATCTTCATTTTCTTTGTGCTGAAGCAAAATGACCTGTTAGCCTCACCATAGTGTCTGCATCCATGAAAACACATTTGGAGTAATGTGTGAGGGTCCAACAGTGGAGTTTGGTGAAGGTGACGCCCAGTTCGGGTCTCTTCATCATGGCCAGGTGTGCAGTGTCGCCACTGTCTAGCACATCCACCACCCTCACCTCATCGTAGATCCTCTTCAGCACAGACCTAATGATTTACAATACTATGAAATGAATCACTATCAACCACCCATGTGGAAAACAAGAGTTCACAGGAACAGTAATGTGTATGAGTGAGAAAAAGTGAATGTAGGTAAAGTTTCTTACTGGCTAGGCTCTGATACTTGTGGACCAATGAGTGCCACCAGCTTCTTGGTTGTATTGTGCTTACGGAGGGATTTGCCCAAAACCATTGCTCCCCGAGCATAGTTGTCATTGGTAGCCAATGTCACAAATGCCTGATCTGTAAAGAAAGAAAACTGAATTAAATTGGTTAAAGGTTGCTCCCACCCAAGTACTAACCACGCCCAACCCTGCTTCGCTTCCAATATGAGAAGAGATTGGGCGCACCCTGAGTTGCTTAACTTAAAGTTGCTTCTTAATATAGTACATACAATTTAAGAATGCTCTCAAACTCGTGTGTTAGTCAGATTCTGTTCTAAATGTTATGAAGTGGTTGAATTGGTTAGTTGTCTTAGTTGAATTGGTCACATAACTGCATCATATGACTTAAATGTGTCATATTTTTCGAAAGCCTCTGTTTTCGCAGTGTGGGGCTGCCCCACACAGTCCACACGCTGAAGAGTGCACTCATTTGTGAGCGGCTCAGAGTAGAGCCACTACTCCTGCACATCCAAAGGTGCCAGCTGAGGTAATTCGCACATTTGACAAGGATGCCTCCTGGGTAAGGTGTTCCAGGAATGTCCTACTAGGAGGTAGACCCATGCCACGCCCAAGAGATTGGGGTGTGTCATGGGAACACCGTGGTGTTCCCTTCGATAGGTAGAGGGAGGTCTGGGCTTCTCTGCTTGGACATCTTCCATAGATAAGGGAAGAAAATTGATGGATGGATGTGTTAGTCAATGAATTCATCCCATTAAAAAAATTTCCATAACTCTTCTGTGAATGACCAAATGATGGAAAGATGCTAGTCTATTTTCCCCCCAAGCCCTTTGACAGATTGGTGACCTCGCCACCTAAGACAGGTGGGATGGGCTCCAGCTTCCTGTGACTATGAATTGAAGAAGTGGAAAGATGGATAGGTAGATATTTTCCTCCAGTGTAACTGCATTGCATGTATTTTTAAAGTTTACTGCAGGAATATGAAACACACACCAAAAACATTACACTGCAGTTGTAGCCTCTTGCCTTTTAGGTGATGCGTTTCTGTGTGGATTCTCTAAAGCATGAATGATCCAAATAATTCATATGTTGATTATTTCAAGTGTTTTTGAATGAGCAACACAATCTAACCTCACTAAAAGTTTTCTCACAAAGTACCCCATAAAGGTTTAAATGTCTCATTAAGGTGATTTTTATTTGCAGTGTGGCATCTACTCTGTACCACCACCTCAGGCTGCTGGGAGGAAAATCTGCCAAGTCAAGTCTTGGGAACAACGGCTTGCCTGTGAGAGGACATATAAACTGAGATGACGAAATCAGCATGGCAGCTGGGATAGTTCTGTGACTAGCAGTTAGGCCAACACCAATCCCATTTGGCCTATGCGCTAACCCTCTGGCAGTAAGATACCAATAATGGGCAAGGAGATCACAATAGATAGAGTATGTCTGACATGCTAGCAGCCCAGAGTTTCTATAAGTTTGGGCCAGTTGGAGAACAATGGTTCCAAATACCACAGCTTGCCAGGAAAATTTGTTCTGTCTCACTGCCTTTTCACAGTGCCACACCTCCTTTCTCTTACGCCCCCTTTTCAATTGGTAGAAACCCTTCTGCAATATGAATGTAACACTAAAAAAACACATAAAAGATGAGAATTAGCTCTGCAACAACCCAAGTTACAGTGAAGTCACCGTCCAGGCAGCAGGGTCATTTCATTTTGAGTCAGGGGGACGGTTCCCAGTAAGCTTATACCACAAATTAAAAAGTAATTATGGTGACTTAGGACACAGAGTAGTGTAGTAGGTCTCAAACTAAGGTCCAATGATAGTAAAGTAGTCTAAAAAAGGTACCCTGTGAAATGATTTTATCGCACTGTGTCCACTGCACCTACTTTTGGCAGTTTCCTAATATATACATGACAAAATGGAACACAGTTATAAAAAGTAGTAACACTGTAATTATGTCACACCGGTAGCTGGTCACTGTGACAAATACAAGTTAATTATGTAAAGTAAGACTGTAACCACTTTAAGAACACTACACTTCTTATTCAACAAGGGAACACAACTACCCAAAAACAAAGAGAACAGTGACAAAAGACTATATTAGCTACATAATGTAATTTAATGTCACCAAAGTTCGCGCCATTTGCTACTTTTAAAACTTTAGAGAAAAAAAACCAAATAATTAACAAGAATTTTTTACTATCGACGCTGAGAGTGTTAAAATGTTACCTACCAGCCATGACTGACGAATAAGTCGCAGCTACTCTGTAGCCTGGACTTTGCAGAAGCCTTGCGTGGCGAAAAGGACCGACTAAATATACAGAGGTGGTTTAAATACCAAGATGACAGCAGCCAGACCGGCGTCACGTGACAGCCCCCAACACACCCACCTGCTGTTGACATGCTCCACCGCTACACAGCAGCACCTCAAGCAACACCGCTTTGAACAGGTTTACAGCCTACAGATGAAGAAAAATTACAATTATTGAAAATATTGTGCATTGCTTCCTCCTCCTAACGTTACGGAAATTTCACAACTCTGAAAAAGTAAAGGGGGAAAAATTCTTTGAGTCAGAGATAACGTTGCACTCTCAGGACATAATTCTACAGCTCTGACCTTTCAAACAGCTGCCGGGTATCTCCCCTGAGTCCTGTCATCTTTAGTTATAGTGACAAATGAAAGACGGCGAAGATGTAATGCGTCCAGGAACAAGATGTCCTGTAGTAAACATTTGGCACGTTGTCGCCACCTTGTGGATTGAAGATCGTATAGCAAGGCATTTATCAAACCGTAGTTTAGGAGGTCATTCAGTGCTCTTATTGTATTACACAACAGTGAATTATTTTTAGCTCAAGTAGTGTACTTTAAGAGGAGTGTCATAATTAAGCAAGAAGATGATATGTCATTTTACTGTCTTACATTTAAATCAAAATAATGACATCAAGTGGCAGAATTAAAAGCATACAAATGGCAATATTGACCACAATCTTACCAACCTGTTTAACATGCATGCAATGGACTGTTGCCTAAGTAGCTCAAGAATAATTTACTGCAAAAAGCAAATATAATCTTCTTAAAGTGTTATTTTATTAATTAATCTAAAGAAAAAAGATGACTATTATTATTTTTGAAAATGTTACAGTTAATTTGCATATTTGTAAAACAGAAATCTAAACATTATTATGTAAAAGCCTGTTTATCATCTTTTGTCTGTTAATTTTCAGTAATTTAAAGTAAAAATTATTTGTGTTATCATTGAAATAAACGTGTAACTATCCAGCACAGAGGCATAATCTGTGTGTGTCCTGGGTCTGGCCTCGAGCCTTCATACGATGTTGAAATTTCTTCTTTTAAATCACTGAAAGAGTGCCTTTTTAATTTAGGCCTATACCAAACTGCATGGGCATTTGCATTTTTAAAAAGCACTAATCAAAGGAGAAATAGAAATCACTGAAATGACAATATTACGAACAAGCTGACTGACAAAGTCCTAAAAAATTGGAACAATGAAAAAAAATATAGTACATCCCACATATTATATATATCAGTGGGATGAGGGTCAATACACTGCTTTTATTTGAATATAAAACTAGTCATATTTTTTTCCCTGCATTGTGATGCGTGAAAACCAGTCAGTGAAATTTACTTTTCCAATTTTACCCCAGAAATGTGAATGTGAAGTAAAATTTCCCGCTGGTCTTTGGCTCCCTTATTTTCTCCACCGAGGCAGATGCTTGGCAGAATGGAGATGCTGCCAAGAAGTGCTCTTTGCTTGTCACATACTGTGCCCTTGTTTAGAAAATCCCTAACAACAGATACCCACGCCCACCTAAGCGCTGCTACTGGAGCAGTGCCATCTGAACAAGAGGGATCACTGTGATCCAAAGGGGTGCAATAAATTTGTGGCTCTTTCTTTTGTTTTCTTAAATGTCTCCTTTATAGACACTTTATAGAAACTATAAGAACATTTGGTGTTTGGCACAGTTACATTATGGTTTCATTATGGTTACATTACACAATATTTTTTCTTAAAGGTTGTGGTATACGTTTCTAAAATGTTTCCCTCTTAATTTGCATTCATTGCAGCAGATGATGAGCCCTAAAGTGAAAGTGTTATTATTGCTGTTGTTCGTACGCAGTAAAGCCTCTGTGTACCAGACACAATATTATCGTATACACATAAAAAAATTGATTCAGCGTGTGGGGATGGATCATTGATTTTATTGTTTGCACTCATCTTGACATTCTGTCAAGCACAGTGAGGAAACATGGCGGGTGGTGCCCTGTATCCATGGATACGGGCAGGAGATGGCTGAGAGGTTGGAGGGGCTGGGGGCTGGTACAGAGGAGCCGAGTTGGCAGGGGTCCTGGCAGTTCCGCATTTTAATAGAGGTTCTTCTGCACGTGGGCCGCAATGTACTTGACGGCCAGCATGGTCTCCTCGCATGTGGGCTTGATCTGAGACTCGGGCAGCAGGAAGCCATATTGACCCTCGTCACGCAACTCGAAGGTGTAGGAATATTTCACTCCCAGGTCGTAGGCCCAGTCATCAGAGCCTCCAGCAGCGGGGTCTAAGGGCAGATGAGGAGAGAGTGAGGGAAATCACTGAGATGGTGACATTCTGACAACCTGGGACAGTCTGCATGTGTTTTCATACACATTTTACTTCAAGGGGGGCAAAAAAAAAGAATCCCTTGCTTGAAATAGCTGTGGCTCATGATTGCCTTTTGTGGTTTCAAGAGGCCACATTTCTCAATGGAGATGGGTGCGCTGAGAACACACCATAATGCATAATGACAGAGGTGGAAATAGGTTATCAAGCTATCACTGAATATGCAATCTTCCCACAATAAAGTGTGACTATTTGCTGTACTTACAGATAGTTGGAGCACCGGGGCCGCTGGTGTAGACTGTGCCATACAGGCTACGCAGAGCAGAAGAAGCTCCCTTAGCAACTGCCATCTACAATACAAAATACAAATAAAAGTCAAATGTGTTATAGAGTGAATTAATTATAAGGTTTAAACTATATACATATATATATATATATATATCAACACAGTATCTGAGTATATCAGACTGAGCAAAGGTGTGTCATTGTCTGGAAATGCTTGAATTTGGAGGACTTTTTAATGTAAAATTTGTCACTTTAAACCAAACAAAGCACGCACACAAACAACACCACCTTTAAAATACAGCTGTTACACGACACGTTATAAATACATGCTTTTCACCCTGCGGGTTTCCAGTAACATTTTTAGTGATATTATAGAAAGCAGTAAAAGCATCAGCGAGTTGCAAGAGGAAATGAAACCCCCAGAGAAACGCACAAGCAGGAAATGATATTTCTGGCCAGACTGATGAGTTATGACAGATCCCTGGAGTTCTTTTGTTCTGTAAAGTGTCAGAAGACAGTCTAAATTACAAGTGAGTAATAGAGAGGCAGAGACGTGTGATCTGCCTCAGTTAGTGTGAGAGCTGGAGCAGGGGTGTGAGTGTTAACTGTGCAGCACCACGGACACCCCAGTGAGAGGTAAAAGAGCCATGAGAATGAGCCATGTAAGCAGGGAGTAAATGATTTGCTGCAGCTAAGTGTGGCCCTTAGATAAGAGTAACACAGTAATGGGGTGGGTAGAGTTATATATGTTTATATTATATGATCTATTGTAAAACTTTTTATTTGCTCGTATTCATGTATATCACACATACAGATCATTATTTGAATGAACCGAATTCATAATTATACATAGCCTGACTCAGAGATAGGTTTTGTACACTCACTGCAATGCTAAGGCAGATAACAGTGACTTACCAGCTCGTCATGGTCTGCAGCTAACTCATAGGTGTAGGAGTAGGGGAAGAGCAGCAGCTGAGAATAGGAGTGGATAGTGATGTAGGCCTTGATGATGGATTTATTTTTGCGGATGAAGTCAGCAAGATTCTTGGATTCAATTTCAGATTCAGGAGCGGTGCCACAGTAAGTTTCGCTGCAGGGGTTGGTGGAAGCTCCAGTGGCTGCAATCACATAGAAAACCATGTATTAAATTTTTTTTATTTTCTTTTTAAAATTGTTAAATAAAATGACATAATAAATTACAAACTAAAAATGTTACCAAGCAGCCAAACTGTAACTAAACATATTATTGACTTGCCAGATTAAAATACATGGAAAATCTACATAAAAAAAAAAAATACAGTTCTATGTCCTGTCCTTAAACCTGATATTTTTGCTGAAGTTTTTTGTATTTTTTTTTTTAAAATAAATTGAGCTTTTTATGGAATGCCTATTAACTGACATTTAAAAATAACCAATGCAATTGCAAAGTACCCCAATTTTTCTTTTATCAGTCTAAGATTTAACTGTTCATATGTCATACTTACTGCACCAGCCAGCATTGAAGTTTCTGTTTGGATCAGTCCCAAGGCAGCTGGATCCAGCGTTCCTGGAGCGAGTTTTTCTCCACATCCTGTTCTAAAGTTCCCAAAATGCATACAGATGTGCATTAAATGCATTCTTCGAGATATAGCGCAAGGATGTCTTCTTTTAACTAAGGCAAACAACTTAAGTTTGAATGGATTGTAACGTACGTTTGTGTGGGTGAACACGTAACCATCGACGTTGAAGACGGGCAGAACAAAGACATCCATCTGGTCGAGCAGGCTAGTCATCTGAGAATCACTACCATAGGCGGTCACAGCCTGAGGAAGATTGCAAAAAAATTTGTGCTGTAATCAGTTATATTCCTTATTTGTAGGTGCTTGCCTCGGTCATCCTGGCATCTTCCTTACCTCATTGACAAACCACTGACAGAAAGCATGAGAGATCCACTCTCTGGCGTGGAATCCACAGTCCATGAAGATGGCAGGCTTGGTGGAACCAGACTTCTTACCAATCTGTGGTTGTTAAATGTAATCACAAAACAATTGTTGCATGTAGTTATAATATAAATTAAAAAATAAATTCTTTAATGTCTGTGAAGGTTCTCAGTCATCCAGGTTATCATAGTCTAAGGAGCTTGGAAAGAGGATGCCAATGTTCGCATTTTGGCAGTGAGGACAGATGGTTTGAAAGAGAAGTGAAAGAAGCCATTTATGTCCACTGTGAGCGACCATCTTTGAAAAGAGGCGGTGGTTTACGACACCAACTGTCTGCCATCTATAATCCAGTTTTGAGATCCCTTCCCAGACGCCTTAACGCCCACTCACATCCTGGGCCATCTGACCTCAGGAAATCACATGATAGGGTGGGGCCAGGTTTCACAATGAGCTCACCCGAAACCCTGGCTGATTGTGACCCACCCGTTTCACACCTTGGCTCATGTGATTAGGTAGAGGATCATCAGGGGGTCCTTGTCCCTCTGTGGGGGGTTACTCCCACTAGGTTTAAATCTGGGACTCTCCACCATTTGACCTTAGAACTGAAGAAGCTTCTCGGATGAGAGGTGAAACGTCTTCAAGCAACTTAAAGAAGTCCAGACGCTTTTCTTTCCAAGCTCCTTAGACTAAATTCTTTAATATTTATTTGGGTAAGCTACCTTGAGAACTACCATGGGACGTCCCTCATAGGTGTTTCCAATCACCTCCTTGCTGATCATATCAGAATTGGCAGTAGCCATTGAGTTCATCCATGACTCAATCTAAAATAAACAGGACAAATATGGTAAGAAATTACTGAAAACCAGAAAAGAAAATCAGAATTGAGATCGGCGCTCTTAAGAGTTTCGACTCTTACATCGCTCCAGGTGTTGTACTTGGTGTAGCTGTGGGCTCTGGGAGAACCCTTGTTTTCAATCTGGCGATCAACAGCCTCCTGAACGTCATCAATAAAGACCCTGAATAGGGTTTAATTAAAAAGTGTCACAGCATTGCGTGAAGAATGTAAATCTGGGGCACAAAATATCCAGATAAATATTCTTTAGTTTAATTGTTTGTCTAGCGACCTACTCTAGCTGCATGCCACTCTGCTGCAGGACGGTGAACACCATGTCCAGGTACTGAGCAGGCACACGGATGTCCACGCTCATGCCCACAGTCACCTGCTCAGCATTTTCTGGGGTCCAAAAGTCGAGCTGCAGATGGCAGCAAAGTCAAACACTTGAGCAATGAAACATATGTGTGTGCCTGTATGTGTGAAAGCAGATGGGTACCTGAACACTGTTAGCCAGTTCCCTAATGACTTTCACATGTTCATTAAGGACAGGCTTCAGACGCAGAACTTTATCACTGTTTAAAAAAGGGGGGTGAGAGAAATCAACATTATAAAATAACATCCACAAACACTTTGCCTTCACTCCTCAGCAGTTTCTTTGGAACACAATAATACCCTTTGCATAAGCCACAAACTTAGGGAACGCAGGCTTATATAGTACTTCTATTATTAGAACTGCGTCATTATATTTTTAGTGTCATCACATGCTGTAGTTTACAGGAATGCTGTCCTTTTTTTTTAAACAAAAGTGTAAATTTACCCCTCAAAGCGAGTGACGTCAGCGAGGGCAAAAGCCACCAATCCAAAAAACAGGAGGACCTTCATGTTGGCAATGAAGCTGGCTTTCCTTGTGTACGACACTTATACCTCGCAGCTTGCTGTACATCCACCAATCTGAGTCTTTTACGCAAAGATGTGTCGTACGTCCTTTGCTGTGTCGCTGGTTTTTTTTAGGTGTTACGTGGAAAAACGAGAGCCTACATGATGTACTGTCAATGATTAATAGATTCAAGACGTGTTTGAGGCATTTTTAAACCAAGGTCATTTGATTTGGATAAGTCACAGTTATCAGAAGTGTTTTTTGTAATGTGTGACTTGCTTTCACGACTAATCAGGATGATTTGTCTCTTTTTACACTCAGCTATTAAAAAATAAGATCCACCATGGACTGTATTTACTTTCTTTTTAATTATATTTTCGTATTCACAAAATGTACACCTACACGGTATAAAAAAACACACCTGTCAAGTTTAAATACCACAAAGACAACCACCAAAGACACTGACAATGATCTCCCAGCCTGGATTATTTACATGGCACTCCATTTTTGATAGCATGTCACTCCCAAACTTGGTATCATTTCAGTGTTGATATGCAAACAAATATACATTTTCACAAAGAGGACATAGTCTGACTATACTATATAACATACGGAAAATAGTTACTGAAGTCAGATATGCTGCAAATATACATTTACATGACATTTTGCAATACATTTCCAATTATTTCATGTATGTTGCCACTGGCAGAGCATTCATGAGTGGCTTAGCACTTTTTTTTAGCATTGTTCCAACTAGTGAACGACCTGCTGAGAGCAAAGGATAGTTATCACTAGACACTATAGTACTGCACTGTATCATCGAGGCACAATGCTGACATAATTTTGCAGAACATGCATATCTTTTTATAAATAATGGGATAAGTGTTCAGTAATTCTGTATAATATTTTCTTGCACAGCCATACTATATTAATATGGCTTTTTTGTGACACTCTCATTCATTTCACAGGGTTAGATGGGAAAATTTGCCAGCATGCTATGTGACATGGAATGGTATATGAATAAATATTCTGCAACTACAGAGGAACATGTGCACAACATTACAATCATTGTGGATGTTTCAGTGCTGGGTAATACAGTTGGGCATGGAGAAAAAAAAAGAATGGAATGTCTCCATCCCCAGGTCTTTGACCTCAAACTGAAAGAGTGAGGAAAGGTCAACTGTACCCTGTTTCTCTTCCCCCCCCCCTTTTTCCCCCTTTACTTCACGTCAGAGGAGGCATTACTTTTGACTGCAAGGCTCAGTGCCTCTGTGGCGCGAAAAGAGAGTGCACTCATCTTGGAGCTAATGCTCGGGTGAGGCCCGGGAACTGCACCTCGGGAGCAACGCAGCAGATGGAGTAAGTTTTTGCGAAAGTTGTGCCCCACGAAGCTGTACACGATAGGGTTCACGCAGCTATTGAAGTAGGCAATGCATATGGTGAAGGGTATGGCGGTGTCAATGAGTTCCACGATGGAGCAGTTGTTCACAAGTTTCAGTTGGGTGAGCACCTCCATGAAGTGGAATACCTGGTGTGGCGCCCAGCACAAGAAAAAGGCCAAGACAGCCGCTGCGAGCATGCGCAGTACCTCGTCGTCCCGCGAACGAGAGCTCTTCTGTATGTGCGTGGCCCCCAGCAGCGCCTGCCCAATAAGGCAATAACAAGTGAGGATGATGACAAAGGGCACCAGGAAGCCCAGCAGGATCTTCATGAGGCTGATGGCGAGGCGGAGCTCTTTCAACCACATTTCATTTTCTTCAGTCGGGTGCAGAATGCCGCACACTGTAGTGTTAGAGTGCGAGATGTCGTGGAGATCCCTGATCACCGCTGTGGGCACACTGAGCACGAAGGCAAAAAGCCAGATCACCACACAGGTGAGACGCGCATACACCACGGTGCGGAAGCGCCTCGATCGCATTGGATGCACAATAGCCAGGTAACGGTCTAGGCTGAGCGCTGTGAGGAAGAAGATGCTGGTGTAGATGTTAAAAATCACCAGCCCTGCACTGGCCTTGCACAGGAATCCTCCAAAGGGCCAACTATACCCTGTGGCGGTGTAGGTGGCCCACATTGGTAGAGTGATGAGAAACGTGAGGTCAGACACGGCAAGATTCAGGACGAAAATGTTAGCCACCGTCTTAAGCTTCATATAGCAGTAGATGACAGCCACCACCATGCTGTTTCCGACAATGCCGATGACAAAAATACAGCCATAGACGATGGGTACCAGGGTGAAAATTATTTCATGGTGTCCAGACATACCACATGCCAGTTCTAAACCGTCTGTTGTTTCTGTCGTTAGATTTTGCATTTTGAGCACCAAATCCCAGGACTTTTAAATGGAGGGTCCCTGTAGCCAGGGCTGGTCTGTGGTGACTGATACAGGCCTTGGGAGAGGGCCTCAGCGAGTCCTATAAAAGAAACACACACACAAAAAAAGAAAATGTCACAGGCAGCCCAGGAGAGGAGCCATCATTACTGCTGGCATGGCCCATAAACGCTAATCCACACGAGCACCCATGAAAATGCTCACTCTACACCAGCTCATTAAAGACCTGCACATTAAAGCCATCCTGACGCTTTATGTTATTTCTGTAAAGTAAGAAACCATGAAAAACAGATGTTGCATGTTATTCAATATTCCAAAAATGCCCTTTAAAAACGTCATTATTCAGACAGCCTGCATTCTGCCTTCGCCTTATAATCGTCCCTCGGCTAATGAAGGGCAACAGTAAAACTGTACAGTGTTTATCAAATGCTCGGTCCATCTGGGTTGGACTGTCAGCACCCGGAAGGAGAACATTTATGCCTCGTGTTATGACCTGAGTTAATGAAGGCCGCATGGCAAAGCGCGAGCTTGGATAACAACGCCATTAAACACTAAAGCGCTGAGGGAGCAGGGGAGGAGAGGAGAGGTTCGAGGCTCCAGTCACCGTAAAAGACATGTCACGTTTTAAACCCTCGGCGCGCCGAGATACATTGTACTCAGCATGAGAACTTCTAATCAGCACACACCTAAACAAACAGGACAGCAGGGATTCAGCTCTGTGGAAACTTTGCTCTGTGAGAAAATCAAACCTGCGTGCTGCGGAAAATTGGCCTCGGGGCTATTTTTTTCTTTTTTCTTTTTCTCTCTTTTTTTATGCTTGATTTGCACAAGCTTAGAGTGAAATGGGAATATAAAAAACAAATTCTCTCCTTTGCTGAGCATCTTTATGTTTAATAGAATAGCTTTGTGGGTGTCATTAGTGGAGCTGATGTAATAATATTAGCATAAGCCTCATTTATATGACAATATAGCTGAAGAGATTACCCAAACTTGCACAAAAAACAAGAAATATTTGTGGTTACAGTAAATCCAATTTGATGCCAAAGAAAACATAACTCTGTCTTTAGAGATCATAAGTAGGCAAATACAATTTGAAGATAATGAACAACTGTTTAACTGATTTATGATTTCTTTTGGGAATGAGAAGTTAACCTTTTATTATTATACAGCTGTCACGACAGAAATGGAATTCCCTGGATTACCAGTCTGAGTAAACGGAGCAGGATTTTGCCACAAGATGGCATGCTAGCATTAGGATTTTACTCTTTACGTCTCACTGCTGACTCAGCAGGGACACAGCGCATTTTGACAGAAACACTACTGATAATTTCAGCCAGGGTGTTTCTATACATTTAGATTTTTTTTTTTTAAAAGTAGCCATGTGCTCCTGTCACAATCTCATTGGAGTTTAAGCTATTCGAATCAACCTATTGCAGACACTTTACCTCCACATCTACTGAGCTCAGAGTCTGAGCTCCAGCAGCACAACTGTTTTATCTCAGAATAATAAAAAGATCCTAATTTTTCAGCAGATTTCAGTAGGTGAATTCTTTGAAAAAAACGAAATAAGAAAAAAAAAAAAGCCCTGCGTGCACTAAAGCAATGACCCTATCTGCTGCAGATGTGGGATTTATCGAGTGTGGAAGATGTGTGGATGCCAAGGGCAGCAGAATAATGGAATATCTCTGCGAGTTTCCTGCACAGGCCCCAGTGTAACAGGTAGGATAAAGCACCGACACAGATGTCGAAGCTCGGATTCAAAGTGCGGGTGTTTTGCTTCTTAATGTTTATAACGGTGGGTGACTGTAATATCAAACCATGCAAACAAGAGCATTAAAATGAATATCGGTTTCACAGTTTGGGGATTTTTAAACGATTAAAGGAAATCTCTTGATGCTCAGAAGAATTTTGATTGCCAGAAATGGAAATAGGAGAGAAAATGGACACTCTTTTACTATTATTAGTGCAGTGCAACGCCAGTGTTTTTCCATGAGGGAGATGAAGATAGTAAGGGAACGTGTGTTGAGTTAATACAAACAAGGCTCGATATGCTGAATATCTATAATAAAGATAAGGTGGCACAGAAAGAAGGTGACTCAGAAGAAGGCTATTTAGGGTGGCTTTGTCCAGTGAGCTATAGCTTGAGTGAGATGGCACATTACTGAATGGCAGCTATAAACCCTGGGTGACCACAGACAGGAAGGCAAACAGCCCCTTCACAAAGTCCGTGCGCAAGCTGCATCCTCTGAGACAAGACAAAAAGGCTGCAAAGGCCCAGAGTTGTTTGCAAACAAAGCTGCTTACACTGAATGATAAAATCAGGGTTAGGAGGAAGTTTGGGGACATTTCTGCCCTCCAGATCTCTGTGGCTGAATCCTGAGTGACATTATAGTAGCAACATTTGAGTCCTATTTTGGGGCATTTAAAAGTGGAATCGTTCTGGGAACATGGGATTTATTTACAAAAACTAAAACAAGGACAAATTAAATCACTTTTAGTTTAGGATAATAAGATTGTCTAAGTTGGGACAGCGAGAAAGTTCCCATCAACTGAGCTATCTGAGGCTACCCTTAGCTTGAGAACCCAGCTGCTCGGACATGAGCACCACCATCTGGCTGTTCAAAGAGAAAACCACTAAAATCAGTGGCTGATCGAGTTAATGATTTATATCAGCCTATTACAAAGTGAGGTTCATCTTACTGGAAACAGGCCACTTCACCCCACCTTCCTGTTTCAGGCCTGTTTGGTCAACAGGATGCTCTGCAACAATGGGTGCCTCTGATTTTTGTGCATCCTGCATCTCTAAAGGTGTTAAAGAAATACAAATTCAGCACGAGTTAATTAACCAACAACAAGACCTGAACCTTAAATTTCCTCCTTTCCCTGAAGATGAACAACAATGGTGTCTAATTGCATAGTGCATCTCAGCCGTAGCCTCCTACAACTCACTTCCTCCTCCGTCTCAGCTTGCATGGTGTTGCTTTAAATCATGAGCTTCTTGAAGTGAGGCAACCTCCCTAAACTGCTGAAGAATCTGCCACTGCATTAAAAAAGTGATACAGTAAAGCTCTCATTTTAACATGAATCCAGAAATAGAAAAACATCAAAGGGTTTAAATTAATAATACATGTGTGTATGACATTGTGACAGTGTCCATGAACTAATCAAAGACTTGACTTATGGCTTGCAGCTGGGCAGCTAATGGAAATATTGGCTCCAGAAGTTATGTCTGCATCTTTCTGTTTATAGAACTGCGCTTTCATGTGACGTACACAATCAAACAACACAAACCTGTGCCTGAGAGGCTTCCAATCATTTCTTGTACTACGACTTTGAATTACAATAACCTAGGAGACTGTAAATCCTGCTATCTTTTATTTTTTTCCAATTGTTTTGGTAATTCTGTTAAAAAAAGAAAACCTCGTATAACCTGAGAACAACAAGTCTCTTGAATATGGAAACACGAGAGGGGGGAATGAAACTCCTAAAAACTTTGACAGCAACTTTTACTCTGAGAAGTCTGCAGCACTTTATTTTGGCCCTTAACTTCTTCTTTCCTCATTATTACTTCAATAGTATGAATTTTGTCGCCGTCACTCACACAACTATAAATTAAATTCCATCAGTTCTTTTTACCCCTGGTTTGCTTTTCCTTCACCTTTTCACGTGGTTTTTTTTGTGATTAAATTCTTCATAAGCGAGGATTTTCAAAGAGCACGGAGATACTGTTTATCAGGAAGTGGATCCAATTTTCTATGGAGATATAAGACCTGGGTTTGTATAGATGGCATGACTAGGTTCTGAATTCTTCTCATTCCTACCGCAGATTTACTGTAGTTGGTTTAAAGGTTTTAAACACAGAAGAATTTCATAGACAGAGTAAACAAACAGAAGGAATAAAACTGCGCTGATTTAATTCGTGAATAAAGCCAGTATGTTGTTGTGTTGTTTTATTTTCATTTGCAGGTTCTGAAAGTAATATTAGTCATTTTAGTAAATGAAAAAAAGTTTTTCGAACTGCACCAAGAATCAGCAGAAAACAGTTTCTCTAACTTATCCCTAAAATGCTAACGTTCATCAATGAAAGCAAAGATGAAAGTTGGTGAGAATCCTTCCTGAAAGCGAGGCAGTGTCAGTGCTTACCTGCAGTGCTGAACCAGGAGGCTGTTGATGCTTTCAGAGCAGGACGGGCTGAGAGATAGAGAGACCACCGCAGCGTGTCACTGACTGCTTCTGATTTAACTTAACCGCTGGAGCAGGACGAGGAGGAACACCGTCTGACACACAACCCCCTCCTCACCCCACCACTACTCTCTCTCTCTCTCTGACACACACACAAACACACACTCTACAGTGATGAATGAGTTACACTGGAGCCAGTCAGCTACATATTGTCTTGACCCATCTTTCACTCTGGCCAACAGACTCTGCAGATACACAAACAACCACACATGAGCTCTTACACAATAGCACCTCTCCTCCTCTCTCTCCTCCTCCTCTTTACTTTCCCCCTTGCACCTCAAGCACTATCTCCCCTCCTCTCCCTTAACGTCTGCTTTTAATCATCAACTTTTTTCTGTCTTATGAAATTGACTACTTCTGACAGCTTGAGATGATTAACATTCCAAATCTAGCCCTGTTGCATAATCCTTTAAGGGTGTTCAATTTGGCTCTGCATTTTAATTGACTATGCAAAATCATGCTCATAATCACAGACAGCACTTTGTTTAAGTCTTACTTCAATATTTTGGCCACCTCACTCCTTCCACTTATGTCAGCTCTCATCCAATGACAGTCCCACCGTCCCTCGTCCTCTGCACAGCATGAAAGGAACGGCCAGGGTCTGATTATGACTGAGCCTGTCAACACACTTTATTAATAGCTGCCACAAGAATCCCCTTGAATCACTATGCAACACGGGCTCAAAAAAGTGTGTGTATGTCAGGGGAGATCAGTTGGGTGGAGCCTGAGAGTTGGGACACTGCTATTTTTTCCCCACTTCTTGCTAGGGTTCCTCAAAGCGTTTCCTGCATTTCAGTATGCGATTCATCTGTCACTCATTTGCCACGCTTTTTTTTAAAAACATATGGACCTTTTCTCGGCATTGTGTAAATCTATGTGCATGCATACCTCAGAGCTTACAACTCCCCCTTGGCCAAACTGTCTCTATTGAAGCTGTAAGTTTGATGAAAGTGACTTATTAAACCACTAAAACAGTTCATGTGTGATCAAAAAGAAAAGAAGGAAAAACCCAACTCAGGCACGAAAAGGAAAGAACTTGTCTGCGCGCTTGTGTAATCCAGCTGCATTAAGAAGGAATTTCTATTTTTAGGGATTGCACAGAACCGTCAGACACAGCTTGGTTGTTATTCGTCTCCCCCTATTCTTTCTCAAGGTCTGACAGGTGTTGAGAAGCAGGTCACATCCTCGCCTCTCTGCTGCAACCTATTGCAAATGTCGTTGACATGGATAAGTGATGGATGAGGTGGCGTGGCAGCCATCCTGCAAATCCCCTCAGTTTCAGTGGCGGCTGTTGAAGAAAGCCGTCGCCTGGGCTAAAGACAAACAAGGAAAGAAAGGAAAAACAAACACTTTGGGCTAAGTGGAGGTCCTGTTTGGTGACTTTTGCTCACTCAGGTGTGACCTGGTCATTTGAGAATGATCACATTTGCTGAGGTGTTTATGGCAGGCGGTTCTTCAAAGGTCACCGGGGGTCAAAAGGCAGCAGGTACAAAGGTCTGGAAAACGTTTTGAAAATACGTGACGTGCAGCAAATAGCTCTTCGCTTTTTATACCTGTCATTTTTCAGGAAGGGCAGGTTGTGGAGGAGAGTAACTCACTTTGCTCAGCAACAGAGCCATTTACACCTCCAGGGGATTATGATCAAGCTCCATTATGTCTTCAATTACTGCAAATGATAAGAATCATCCATTAGGCGAATGTTATCTTATTGCGTATCCTGTCACAGCACTGAGCATCTGTATGGTATCCCTTCGTCCTTACGGTCCTCGCTGCCACAAGAATTATCTTGTCTACATCTGACCCTTGAGACCTCTCAGGAAGTGAGCAGAGAGTGCAGAATCACTACATGTATTTTCCACAAAGCAAATAATTCTCAGTGGGGACAGGATGTTGTTGCAACACCCCGTACTACAACAATGATTTACACTCCTTGGGTACAAGCAGAACCAGATGTTGGTGATCTTAAAACAGAGATATGCAAAAGATTAGAAGGGAAATGACATAGTTAATGTTCCTAAAGCTTTTTTTTGTTTTCTTTTTATAGAAAGAATAGATTTTATTTAATTGAAGTTGGTGCATTAAAAAGGTAAAATTACATATTCTGACAGTGTCCTCTTTAATGCACTCAATAAATGCATCAATGTTTAATCCAAGTTATAGTTGTGCAACTTTTATGAACCCATGCAACTATCATCATCAAGTAAATCCAGTTTTGTTTTGTTTGTTTTTTACAGAATAATTCATCAGTTGTGGCTGGATGAGGCCAGAAAGAGGCCAAGGCTTCATCTCAACTGCTCATACCCTGGAGGTGTGATCTTGGGCGATGTTCCTGCTAATCACATCACTCTAACAAGATTAGCCGTGTTAGCACTTAAGCTGTAGTTGAATAAATTGATGTCTGAGGTAATTACTGGTAGCAGACCACTGCGGGGAAAGAGACTTTTTACACCACAGCAACACAGGCGGTAAAATGCCAAACCAGCACACAGCCACCTGCTGAAGAAAGACAATACTGTGTGAGTTCTGAAGTTGAGCTCGAGCTGTAAAATGAACACGGGTGACAAACTGGAGAGAAAAAAAATTAACAGCATAAAGCGTCTTAGCAAGAAAATGAACCACCACATACCGGCAGAACAGCTTAAATGCATCTTGGGATTGATTCTAAATGTTCTCTGGAAATGTACTGGAGGGATGGAAAAACATTATTTTAAAATCTGTTCCCTCATTTGGTATTTTAAAGATGTTAATGGAGATCCACGTCCAACACATTGGGCCAAGTAAGTGTTAACATGGGCTGAAAACCTGAAAGCCACATGATTAATAAACCATCCAGTAATTCCAAGTTACTCTGGGGAACCTGGACAAGGCTTCTCCCACAAGGATAGAAAATGTGTGAGCACAGGATAAAAATTATTACTCAGAACAAAGTTTTTATTGACTTCAACTGCTGAGTTGCAGCAGTTCCTGGATTCAAAATCACTTCTACTTGAGGTGCCATGAGCAAACCAGATATGTTCTTGCTGTGTTTCACCAATAGAAAGCTTCCCACAAGGGTGAGGGTTCGAATATTCCACCAATAAAACCTAAAAAAAAGGATATAAACACCAAGCCCAAAAGAATTCACCAAATTTAGTCCAAATCAGGCAAGACACACACAGCAGCATCAACTACAGACAACATGAAGGTCTATAAAAAAGAAAAGTTGCCAGTTAGAACAGAGTATTTAGTGGCCTGTAGATTATCCAGAAAACTTTCCTTTGTAAAAGGTTCCTCTGTCACCTGTTTGTGTTAAAATACAAATGTGGTCAATTCCAAAGGCTTGTAGTGTAGATGGGTTGCCATTATGGAAGTCCAGGAAGCATCTTAAGTTTGGATTAATTTGCACTGGTCCCTCACTAATGGAACTAAACCACCACCGCTATAACCTGACTCAAGAGTTCAAGATTTCCTTTTAATTTGCCTATTTGTAGCTTCTAGATGTGTATAAATATCTAAAATTTCCAAAACAAAGTGTGCTGTATCAGCTTTTGACAGGTTCGTGCTGCGTGTTTCTATCAAAGCCAATCTCTGAGAGAACCTATTGCATGTTTAACTTATTTATTTATTCATTTATTTATTTTTAGAAAGAGGGGCAATACATATTAATGAACATTTTAACAAATGTAAATATGCCAGATTATAGCCTTGGGCTAATTTCCATCTGCAGACTCTCTGCCGACACGGAGCCAGGTTAATGTGATCAAAAGAAATATATGCAGAACAAGAACTACATGTTTCTTTTCACACATGTTCCTCATAAGTTTGTATCCAAACTTTACCCCAAAATATCTTTTTTTAAATAACACAAAAAAAATATTTTCTATTAAAACAATATGTGCAGAGTGAAGCAGTTCTCTTTATGTTTGGGATTTGATGGACATGTTGTCTTAATAAGCCCGACCACATTTTTCCCCTTTGTTTTAAACAGTTCCATACTGTACCATTGCTTTAGATATTGTTGTGAAACTCACTTCCCCACCATTCCCTTAAGACTCGTAATCAAAAAATGCCCAGAAACATGTTTCTCAGCGTTTCTCTGGACATTTAGACCCCTCACAGTATGAGAATCACAGGTGGAACTAATATCACTAATGGCAGCTTTCCCCCCTCCCCCAGCAAACGCTTCAATGCTAAGCAGCAAATAATGTTAGACACCCCTCTGACACGTGAGAAGTTGTACTTTACTTTTTAAGGCAACTTTGGTTTATCCACTGGGAATTATTATTATCATGGATATATTATCACGATCATGGCTTGGGGCGATCGTGGCTCAAGAGTTGGGAGTTCGCCTTGTAATCGGAAGGTTGCCGGTTCGAGCCCCGGCTTGGACAGTCTCGGTTGTGTGTCCTTGGGCAAGACACTTCACCCGTTGCCTACTGGTGGTGGTCAGAGGGCCCGGTGGCGCCAGTGTCCGGCAGCCTCGCCTCTGTCAGTGCGCCCCAGGGTGGCTGTGGCTACAACGTAGCATACTATCGCCAGTGTGTGAATGGGTGAATGATGACTGGATATGTAAAGTGCTTTGGGGTCCTTAAGGACTAGAAAAACGCTATAAACGCTATATAAATACAGGCCATGTTAGAAAAACAGCTGTTCTCTGACTCAAATGTAAAGACATGTAAAACAGCAACAAATTCTAGCTGGGCAATAATTATAAGTTGATATCAGGTTACAAAATAATGTAGAGAACCGCTGCACTTAAAACCACTTCTATGACTTACATTGAAAGCATTGTCTTCAAATAATAAGACCATTTCAACCACCAATAGTGTCAAGCAGTGATGCTCATTCTGCCCCCAAATCCACCAAAATGCATGCTGCTACTTTTCTTTTTAGCTATTAAGGCATTTCTAAGCTAAGCCATATTCCACATGATCTTCAAATCTTGGCGTGGAAGCTGCTGTGACTCTTCAAAAAGCCTGCTAAGATCACTGCTTCCTCTGTCAAAGTAAGAGCTTGCTGCTTGATATCTGCTTGGTGTTGAGTTGGTCTTTGACAGGTATGCTTGTGGCTTATATCTTGGCTTTTGTTACTGCTGTCTTTCATTCACTATATATCGAGTGTCCTTGGCTTCAATTCTTCTTTTTTGCCTGGTTATTATTGTTTGGCATGAGGATACATGTTGCATTGTGGATGCTTATATTGGAATGTGAGTGCGGCTGAAGTGGTATTGCACCATATTTTCCTTTTTTTTATGTTAGTCCTGGATGATTTCATTCTGCAGTGCATGCTTCTCTGTAAGCCTAAGTAAGTGTGCACTGAACAGTTGAAAGTCTAATGTTTGGTTGGATGGATTGGCCACAAAACAAGCCCACCAGTTACACACATTTCAGCTACACTTCGGTCAGGATGTCTGCATTAATTTCTGGTTTTATTATTCAGCCGCTGACTTCATCTTGTATCTATGTACTGT